ATAATTTGAATGTTTGATTGGTTTATCCGGGTATCTTGATGGACAGAGCAGAAAAGACAAGTACTCAGACAAAGAATTAAATAGACTTTAGAAATGTAGATACTTTACCTGCTAGAACCCATTGTTATTCCATAAGCATCATCTCTGCTGGGTGGAGGGGGAAGACTGGAGGCTTGCTCTGAGGTTGCCTGTCACCTGAAAATGGAGACCCCTTTTTCAGAGCTGTGGCTAGCTCTGTGTTTCAGAACCAAGAGTGCCTTCCTTGGCCTGAATTTTGTTGGTCTCTGGATCAGGTTAGAAGTGGGGTGCCCTTGCTATTGGGGCTACCCAAGATTAAAAGGCCTCTGGCAACACCCGGGAGGTCTGGGAGGTGAGTCTGCCAGCGTGCCGCCATCAACCGGAAGTCTAATTGTACCTTTAGTCACAGTCAGAAAATGACCTTAGGAGACATCGCCCTGCTCTTACCGTCTTTCCCCCTCTGCAATATGGGGAGGTCACCGTTTTCCACCAGCAGGTGAAGACTTGTTTTATCTGGTGTCCCCTCACTGATCCTCCATGCCCTCTTTAAATTGCTGTTTCTGTGGTTTTTAATTGGCTTTATGATGTGCTTTTATAATGCTCTGTTTTTAATTCTTAGCCACCTTGGGAGTCCTGGTTGGGCAGAAAGGCAGGATATAAATTTTATAAATAGATACATTCACCTATACTACAGGGTTGTTTGATAGACAGCTGTAGTGGAGTGCTGCAGCCCGTCAAGCCTGTCCCTGTCCTGAAACCAACCACCACCACCAGGTGTACATCCCTCTGGCCACTAGCAGGGGATGGGGGGGGTAGGGTTGCTGGATCCAGGTTGGGAAACTCCTGGAGATTTAGGGATGGAGCCCGGGGAGGACAGGGACCACAGTGGGGTACAGCGCCACAGAGTCCACCCTTCAAAGTATCCCTTTTATCCACGGGGACTGATCTCTGTAGTCTGGAGATGAGCTGTAATTCTAGGTGTTAGGAAAAAATTAAGTTCATTATTAACTAGCTGGGATAGAGATCCAATATTCTCTCCTCGGTTTTAGTTGCTGAGCATGAGATCAATTGATTATCTTGATGAGACTGATTGCATTGATAACTAGTTTCTTATAGTTGAATCAATTTCCTATTTTCCCATATTTTATGATGTTACTGACCTTTCGTTGAACCCTTACCCCAAACCTATTAACCTAATCATCTTTCAGGCTCCTAGGATGTGAGTATACAATGAAGATTATGAGTATCTCACCTAAAGTTTGTGTTCTTCAAAGTGTTCTGTATGCAAGGGTCAGGGGAAAAGTTATGTCTAACACCAGAATTAAGACTCCTCTGAGATATCAGAGTTTAGCAGCTTTGGTTACATTCCTCTGTAAAAGATGAACTTTGTTTCAGCTAGTGCATGCCAGCTTACATGCCAGTACGCTGGTATCAGAATGGACCATTCTTAAAAAAACTGCCTGCTTTTCCGAGCAATAGGCCTTGGAGTGATTTTTTAATTCTTCACAGATATATCTCGGGACATGGGGGAACCATCTGGCCTTTAATGATTTTCTCCCCAACACTAGGGGATCCCCAGGTCCCACCTGGAGGCTGGCATTCTTGTGCAGCAATTCCCTCCACCACCCCATAGTTGCCTACCAGAGGCATGAATTTAAAATTGAAAGGCAAAACCATCAAACAGCACCCAATTTCTTTTACTAGGAGGGCAGGCCCGCCCCAAAGCCAGTAGTTCAAATGGTACGGTCAGCCCAAGGCTTTCTACTTTGATCAGCAAGTAGGTCATGGATTGAGGCCAAAAGGACTTTGCTTTTGTACATAGCTTCCATCTCCTACCCACCGTTTCCCCTTCCACTGGTAGGCTTTCAGCTACACGAACAGGAGAATTGGGAAGGATCTCAGCTCCCTCCCATGATTCCTCACAAGTAATATTTTTCTTACTATTTGTGGTTCAAAACGGATGATAATGCATCTAAAATCATCCCTATAAAATCACCAGAGTCAATGGAGAACATAACTGCTAAAATGCATACTTTGCAGCGCTGGCTTAGCAATGCAGAATAAAAACAACAACAAGCAACAAAAACATAATTTTAAAAAAACCCATACACACCTAACTAGCGTAGCCAACAGTTTTCTGGCCCTTGCTCCTGTGCCCGTTGGTAGCAACTGATTAGGGTTCCCAGCTGCAGGCTGGAAAGTTCATGGTGATTTAGGGAAGGGAGGCAGGGTATAATGCCATAAATTTCACCCTCCAAAGCAGCTGCTTTTTCATGGGGACTGATCTGGAGATCAGCTGTAATTCCAGAAAGTCTCCAGGCTCCACCTGGAGGTTGGCAACCCTGTGGGTGCACATGGCCCCTTGAGGGTTTGACAAGTATTAGCAGCTGACAATGCTTATTTTTATTTTTTTATTTATTTATTGTTTAGACTTTAGGATGCCCTTCCCTGAGGGCAGCTCACAACAGAATTAAAAACACAACAATCCAAGTTAAATTACGCCAGCGCTAAACACACAGTACAGAGTAATAAGTAAAAAAAACAATTCCAAAGTGGGAGAAAATTTCAATAGAAAATCCAAAATAATTTGAATAGAAAATTGAAGTACATAGAGTCTCCAAGGGGGGCAGGTAAGGGGGGGGGGCCCTGCGAGCGCCAGACTACTTGCTGTCCCGTCGCCGTCCTCAACCAGACTGACCCACCGAGGATGACCGGATTCTGCCTCAACTTCTCCTTTGTCCCTCTCCTTCCTATTGAAATAAATGTTGTTGGTCTTTATGGTGTCACTGGACTTTTGCTTTGTTTTCCCTGCAGATCAAAGGGCCGTTAAGCACAAGAGCAAACGAGGGTCACCCTGGCCACATATCCCCCCCCCCGTCCATTGGCCTTGGCACCCTTATCTGCTACGGTCTCACAGCCCTATACCTTCCCCAGCTCAACCCCCTTCCTGTTTCTCAATCTCCCCACGCCTCCTTTCTATCTCAAGCCGCAGCTGCAGCAGGATTCTAACGAGAGACAAACAGAGCAGCTCCTTCCTGGTTTGTTGTCGGTGCTGCCCGTGGCAGCGATGGCGGCTATAAACCCTGCCCGAGCCCTGGAGGACGAGCTCTTCTGCTCCATATGCTTGGATTACTTCACGGAGCCGGTGATCCTGAACTGTGAGCACAACTTCTGCAGGGCCTGCATCACTCGGACGTGGGAAGGCCTAGGCGACAGTTTCCCCTGCCCCCAGTGCAGGAAGAGGTCTTGCAAAGGGAAACTCAGGCCAAACACCCAGCTGGGGAAAGTGGCAGAGAGGGCCAAGGAGTTGGCCCTGGTCAGGGGCGCCACTCCTGAGCCTGCTTCGAAGCCTAGCAGCAAGCCAGAGACCAGCGCCAGAGAAATGTGCAAGAAGCACCTGGAGGCTCTGAAGTTGTTCTGCCTGGATGATCAGGCCTTGATCTGTGTGGTTTGTGACAGATCTCAAGAGCACAGAGTTCACAAGGTAGTCCCTGTAGAGGAGGCAGCCCAGGAATCCAAGGTACAGAGCATTTGTGGTGGTGGGAGGAGTGTACAATTGGTTGTAGAGGTTCACTTGCCACATATATGCTACTTTTAAAGGGATAACCTCAGTTCCCTGATATCTTTTCCTGCTAAATCACTGTCCCTGGGTGTTGGGAGCAGGGGTCACTTCGTAGAAAAAGAGCTAGGGGAACTCATTAGCAGAACTCATTAGCATATGCCACACCCCCTGACATCACCGGAAGTGTGTCATAAGGCCACACACCCTGACATCACCGGAAGTGTGTCATAAGGCCACACACCCTGCCCCCAACGGTCCCGGCTGCTGCCGCCGCCGGCCTTGCAGCTCCACTGCCGAGCCCCATGAGGGGCCCAGCGGTGGGCCTGCAAGGCCGGCGGGAGTGCAAGGAAGCCCCTGATGCTTCCTCCTAGTCCTGGTATTCAGAGGTTTTCTGCCTCTGTGTATGGAGGTTTCTTTTTGTCATGGTGTCGAGAAACCATTGATGGACATCTCCACCATGAATGTGTCGAATCCTCTTTGACAGCCATCTATGTGCCTAGCCCAAGGTGGTCCCGTAAACCTCCATGGCAGAGTGGGGACAGGGTCTCCCAGATCCTAGCTTGACACTTTAATCAGTTCATCAGAGTGACTAGGACTGCACACCGGTTTGCAAATGAGGCCACATTGTAGATAAGAAGTCCCCACCATGGCGCCCGTCAACACCTTTCTTGGTGCCAGGCCATTATTTTTAGAAAGTGGATGGTGCCAGGCAGGATTTTTGTCCAGCCGGGCTTCTGATTGGGCATTGGAGATTTGCTTGACTGTGCAGATTCTTAAGCAGTAGCTTCAGCAGCAGCTTCCACCACAGCAGAAGGATTTCCACTGTGTGACAGGAGGTAAGCTGGGTGTATGCAAGAAAATATTTTAAGCAATATGTTCGTTTTAAGCAATATGTTCATTTTGAAAGGCATTCTGTTAATCAGAGCTTATACCTCAAATGTTGAAGCAGTACTGTTAGAGTTATGCGTAACCTTACTTCCTAACATTTTGCATTTGGCTCTGCCTCCTGTGGTAGCCATTTTGTGGCTGGCTGTGCCTCTGGAAGCAGCCATTTTGTAGTTGTGCCCACCATCCTGTGTCAAAATTCCAAAGGTGTCCATAGGCTCAAAAAAGGTTGGGGACCCCTGGCGTAGATCTACAAAGGGCCATTACAATGTTGGCCATTTTATTTTCAGTTCCTCTCCTGTAAATTTTTTTCCCTAAAGGGACTCGAGTCATGCAGTTTTTGAGGTCTCATAATGGCCCTGATACCCGTCAGAACCTGGAGAAAGTGAAGAATCCTCAGGCTGAGGGTAGGAAGCAGACTATGTGTGTGAAGCCATAGCAGTTTGAGATTGGAATATAAAGACAGAGAAGAAAAGTGATAGCAGAATGTGAGTTGGCTAAATAACAGTCCCATAAGGCAGCACTTCCATTGCCACAGTGCACCAAAGAGAAAGACTCTTTCTGACTGCACCATGGAACCTTATTGTTTGGGGATGCTGGGAGCACATAACAACACTATATTAGGGCTATGACATAGCTTTGGAATTAGTCATCATGGGTGTGACATCTACAGGAATGGTAGGCCTCCCAAGTTTTTTGTTGAATAAGCTACAAGAGGGCTTATAATACTGGCTTCGGGAGACCTACAGACTGACTCAGTGTATAAGGCAGCTACATTGGGGAAGGGCCGAGCCATCTTGTTGGGTATTACAAGTTGAAAACACTCAGTATATCTGGGGTTAAATGTTTGTTTATGTTACTCACAGGAAGTCACATGTTTTTCATGTAACCAATGTTCTTTAGCTGTAGAATACCCGGAATTTTCTCCCTGATCTAGGAATTTGATTGGGACTAAAGTGTCAAGGTGTATTAGCATTTTATGGCTCTCTTCCCGTTTTTGTTTGGTGTTCTGAAGAAGAAGAGTAACCATAATCTCTCTCTTCTAGTTTTGTCTTTGTAGAGTAAGGATGTAGCCGATTTAGCTCTGTTGTTATTTTCATCCCAGTCACCCTTCCCATGCTAGAATTTAGTAAAAACTTTATATTTTAATCACACATGGACTCTCAGTCTGAATTATTTTACTCCGGGACTGCGGGACTATTATTATCTCTGCTAAATACCATTTTTTCAATATCTCACTATCACCCAACAGATGGTCCATAACACGGCTCTCTGTTTTTATTACAGAAATCTTGACCTTGGATCCTGATTCGGCTCATCCCAGCCTCGTCATTTCAACTGACTGGAAGACTGTGAGCCGCGGGGGCGCTTGTCCGGCTTTCTGCAATGATTCTAGAAGATTCTACCCCTCCTTCTGTGTGCTGGGTTCTGAAGGTTTCACTTGCGGCCGCCACCACTGGCTGGTAGATGTCAAAGGCACTTGTGGCTGGGCCCTGGGTGTAGCCAAAGAATCTGTGGATAGGAAGAAGCCAATGATACTTTGTCCAGAACATGGAGTTTGGGCTGTGGAGCTGGGCCCATACCAGCTCCTTCCTGCAGCGCCAGTCCCTGAGACAGAGAGGGATACTCCAACCCGCAGGCTTTTGGTCACCTTGGACTATAAAGTGGGGCGGGAGACATTCTCGGACTTTCCTAACCCAGAACCGCTATTCACTTTCAGGACCTGCTTCACAGAGAAGCTTTTTCCTTTCTTCTGGCTGTGGTCCCCTGAAGCATCTATTATGCTGTGTCCTTGAGATACAAGGTCACAGTCTGGCTGCTTCTCTTGATCTGGAGGTTATTCAATGATTAGAAAAATGCCACTCGGCACTTGCTGTCAAGACATTTTCATCATTACTATATCTACAAGTAGGGGGCCTCAGCTAGGTCATTCAACCAGACTCTGGGTCTTGTTCACAGTAAATCAAATGTGAGATCCAAGTGAGGTGGGATGATGGGACTCCCTCTAAGCAGTGGAGTCCTGTGAGGAAAAATTCTACTTTGTGAGCTTACTGGCATTAAATTGTGAGCGAGCGATTTGGCCACTGCATAAATTAGTTTGCTCTGAAGCCGTCCTTCATGAGCGAAGACAAAAATGTGTGAGCTGGAGGCTAAAAAGCTGTGAGCTAGCTCACACTAACTCAGCTTAGAGGGAACACTGGATGGGAGATGTCCTAATCCCACCATTAAAAGAAACCCTAGCAGAGAATTAGAATTAGGGAAGGGGGTGACTCCTCTCCATGCCTTTCCTAAGTGCAATTAGTGCCCCCCTCAGCTGTTATCCCAAGTGTCGGGGGGAGGAAGACAGGTTCATTGTGGGAACTTGTATTTGCCCTACTGGGAGAAGAGAGGGGTTTTTATTGGAAAATGTGTAAGGAAAAGTGTTGACCACACCCCAACACTATGGCTTCATTTTACCATTAAAATAAACACCACAGTGCCCCATCAATGATCCCCCCCACCATAATAAATCATCTGGCCTTTAGATATGTGAGGGTGTTGTTGTCTTAACTTGTACGCAACCTCATGTCAGAGACTTGTGTAACTCAGAGGCTTCCATATGGAATGAAATGTTATTTTGGCAGTTACACATTTCCAAATATATGATTGCCAGAACGGTGTGAATGCCAGGGCAAAGATGACTTGCAGGGAAACACTGGCTGAAGGAAGATGTGCTTAACGTTCCGGTACCTACTGTTTGCTATTGTTGGGTGATAAGTGAGATATTGAAAAAATGGTATTTAGCAGAGATAAGATAGTCCAGCAGAGCCAGAGTACAATAATTCAGACCCAGAGTCCATGTGTGATTAAAATATAAAGTTTTTACTAAATTCTAGCATGGGAAGGGTAACTGGGCAGAAAATAACAACAGAGCAAAATCTACTACATCCTTACTCTACAAAGACAAAACTTTAAGAGGAGAGATTATGGCTACTCTTCTTGTTCTTCAGAACACCAAACAAAGATGGGAAGAGAAGCCATAAAGTGCTAATACACCTTGACACTTTAGTCCCAGTCAAATTCCTAGATCAGGGAGAAGATTCCCGGGCATTCTACAACTAAAGAACATTGGTTACATGAGAGACATGTGACTTCCTGTGAGTAACATAAACATTTAACCCCAGATATACTGAGTGTTTTCAACTTGTAATACCCAACAGCTATCCATAAATCCCTTTCTCCAGATGTTTTACTCAGCTGTGCTTACTTTTGGTTTTGAAGCATAGCTTGAAGAAGAATATAAAACAGCTGTGATAGGAGGCATTTACAGGGAAATTCAGTGGACACACATTGAGTCTCCTCTGCAAAAAAAAAGCCCCACCCGCATTAGTCTTACAAAGGAAGTGCTGGGACTACTACATTTCCTTCAGGATGTCTAGTTGAACCCTAACTTTTTTTTTTTTTGGGATGCAAGCACCTTTGCAATTTTGAGAGAGGGTGGTGAGCACCACTCCAAAATGACTTCCACAGGAGGTGGAGCCAAACTCAAAACGGCTGCCTTGGGTGGGGGAAACCAAATGGAGTACCTTCTCCTTACACCTCTTGGGAAGAAGGAACTCCTGAAGGAGGAACAGAACAACACATTGACGAAGGAAGCCCCAGTTGCTTACTAGTCCTGGTCCTCCTCATCCTCCAGTGGAAAACTCTTTCATTTGAATGTGGCTAATAATAAGCCCTGCTTTACAATGCCCCCCCCTCACTTTCTGAAAAGCTTAGTGAGAACCAAGGGAAGTACTGGTGGGCACCACATTGGGGAGCCCTGCCTTAGACTGTTAAGAAACCAAGAGAAATTGTAACACATATATACTCTCCAGTGTTGAAAAGGAATTGGAATTTCTTAGTCACTGTAGCAAAACCTGGTCCTCTTCACCTATTCCGGATGCTAACTAACTTAGAAATTGTTGGCTATTACAAGTTGAAAACACTCAGTATATCTGGGGTTAAATGTTTGTTTATGTTACTCACAGGAAGTCATAACCAATGTTCTTTTGATGTAAGAAGCCCGGGAATTTTCTCCCTGATCTAGGAGTTTGATTGGGACGAAAGTGTCAAAGTGTTTTTGCATTTTATGGCTCCTCTTCCCGTCTTTGTTTGCTGTTCTGAAGAAAAAGAGGAGAGAGAGGCCATAACACTCTTCTAGTTTTGTCTTTGTAGTGTAAGGATGTAGCCGATTTAGCTCTGTTGTTATTTTCATCCTAGTTACCCTTCCCTATGCTAGAATTTATTAAAAACTTTATATTTAATCACACATGGACTCTCAGTCTGAATTATTTTACTCAGGCTCTGCTGGGCTATATTATCTCTGCTAAATACCATTTTTCAATATCTCACTATCAAAACCCAACAGAAATAACTTGGGAATAGTCTCTGTATTTTTCTTAATTACTTAATTACAATCACCCCTTGATCCTGCTTCTCTCCCCCCCCTCATACTTCCTACAGGAAAGGTCTACCAGACGGAGGGTCTGCTCTCTGTCTTTAAAGAAGTGGATCCTAGTCCATGAAAGCTTCTTTTGGAATAAAACATTGTGAGTCTGAGGTGCCTCATTTTGGCCTCATAATATTAGTCTTGTTATCTGTGTCTGTAAATCACCAAGGTAGAGCACTTGGAAGCAGTGTTGTCCTGGCTAGAACATCTGAATCCTCGCCAGCAATATCAAAGTGCCACCCACATTATAACCCCACCCAGCTGTAATTCTTTATTTGCTTTCTCTCATTTTCCCATCCATAAGATGCCGTGTTTGTTGACAGTTATGATGGCTCACGCTCCCCTTCTTGAGGTTGACAAGCGCCGTCTGATATGCTACCGCATAGGAAGTGGTTTCCCCGCTTGCTTATTGCACATGATGGCTTGGTAATGACTTTATTGAAGGCAATAAAGATAACAATAGTCTTTAAAGAGGCATGTAATACAGGTTCCTTTAACAACTGGTTATAAAAGAAAGTGTTGAGATGGAAATGCGATAACCTTTTTATCATTGTTCCTTGACATTCTTGGTATTTCTAGCAAGGATAGTGCTGCCACCTCCAGGCTGCCTTGGTGAATTATAGGTTCATGTAACGAAGTCAGCAAGGGGATAAGAGCTAGTGCAGTAGGAGAAATATCTGCCAAAAATCACCTTTCATTGTATCAAAGATGCAGGAGACATGTCCCATGTATGATTCATTCCTGCATCTTGGGTTTGCTTGTAAAGCAAGACAAATAAATGCGAAATATTTTAGCCGCTACCATACATAAAATGAATGTCCATTTGTCAAAAATAATGTCTATTATGTGTCATCTTTGAAGAGTATTTGGATAATAACAGCTGGCCTAGAATGCAGCAGTCTAATTACTAACCTGCCCTAGCCACAATGATCCTTTTAGAGTTCCACTGGTTTGTGGCATCTGGTTAGAATTCAGTTAGTTTCCAAAATTTTTAGAGTTTCCAGCCTCCAGGTGAGCCGCCAAAAAAGGGGGGGAAGCCAGTGTACAGTACAAGGAACAGCAAAGAACACACCACTGACTGAAAATAAACGTACAAGCAAAATAGCAAGTATATAATAATCATATAAGCATAACAGCAAGTAGAATATGAATCAATTGGCCAAGGTGCAATAATAAAGCATAATAGAAGCACAGTCTACAGTCTTTCCATGTGTCTATTCCAAAATAGAAGCAAATATCAGAGTCCAAATTGAAGTGTAAGTCATCAAATTTTCTGAGCCATAAAAAGCCGACGTGTAATCCGGATGCCTGATGCCGCGTTTCGAATAATTCGTATTCAAGCATGGCAGTAATGGGACCCAATCTCAAAAGCTGGCATATACTAAGCCAGAATGGTCAGTCAAGGAGGATTAAGGGGATTTCCCACTTTTACAACTGATCCCCAGCTGACAAAGATCAACTCCCCTGGAGAAAATGGCTGCTTTGAAGGGGTGGGCTCCATGGCATTGTACCATGCTGAGGCTCCTTCCCCCCCCCAAACCCCCACCCTCTCCTGGATCCATCCCCAAAGTCTCCAGGTATTTTCCAACCCAGACCTTGAAACCCTATTCCCAATAGTTCCCAGTGTAGACTCCATCTTTTGGTTTTAGGAATTTGGGGGGAGATATCTTGGTAAATGATGACCTGCTCAGCATTCCCCAACCTTCAGAGGTAAGTTGGTGGTTATGAAGAGTAGGACATTTTTAGTGGTGGTGCCTACCTTATGGAGCATTTTACTCAGGAAGGCTTGATCAGGCCCGCTTGTCCATAGCTTTTTTGTTGGTTTGCT